GCTAAATGCTTTAGCCTTAAAGTTTGCATATGCATGTGGGTTAATATCATATTAACGCCATTAACCTATATCGACACTACAAACTCCAATTATATACCCCCATCAACATCACTTCAATGCGAAACCGACCGGGTCGTTAACAAATATTACTGTAAAACTGTCTTCATTCGATTCGCAACATTTAATTTTCATATAAAGCAGTTTGTGACTTCGTGATCTTTCATAGTTTCATCTACCCTGCGAGAAAAGTGCACTCGTATTTCTTCTCGGCACGGCACGGAGAAGCGAGAGAGACTCTGCAGAACTTGTGAGTTGTGTATACACACGTAAAATCTCACATCTTGTAAGGGAGCATTCATTTTCTAGCTGGGGGTGTGGGCCGGAGGAATTTGGGGGTGGGTCAGCCAATTTTGACATGGTTCAAAGGGGTGGGTCTTTTTATAGTTTTGGTATAAATGGAGGGGGTCATAAAAATAATCAGTGAAAAAGTCACCAATATAATTTTATAGAATTTGGAAATATTTGGATGAAGAATGGTAAAAAGGTCTAGAAACTATCAACTATCTCGTCATCTTTAACAATGAAGCAAAATTCATTTGACGCTCTGTTCACACAGTCCATAGGAAAACATTTCCATAACGTTTGTCAATTGACCTCGTTTTTATCCGTTCTCGTGAAGGAAAACGCAGGACCGTAGCATGTTTTCAAAATCATGCATGGTTTCAAGGTCTGCATGCATTTCATCATGACCTTTCTCAATTTTAAGCTTTATTAATTTTAAGCGGCTACATTATCCACGACAAACTGCAAAGAATGAAGATATTACCCACAGTTTCCTGCAACTTATCCTAGTCATCCAATATATAGTTAATCCCCGAGCCGGCGGCGCGAAGCGCCGTGCGAGGGTACTAATTCCCCCCGGCTATTTACACCCGGGGAAACGAAAGCATTAGCGAAGTCTAAAGTTCATCAATGAGCGCGGGCGTCGGTCACCAACGAGTGTATCTAAAAGTCGAGGGTCGAGAGTCGAGAGTAAAGGTCGAGAGTCGAGAGTAAAAGTCGAGAGTCGAGAGTAAAAGTCGAGAGTCGAGAGTAAAAGTCGAGAGTCGAGAGTAAAAAGTCGAGAGTAAAAAAGTCGAGAGTCGAGAGTAAAAAGTCGAGAGTCGATCGAGAGTAAAAGTCGAGAGTCGATCGAGAGTAAAAAGTCGAGAGTCAACATCTCGTCAGAAACAACAAAGTCAAAATACTTTTAACACAATATATAACCGATCCGTAACAACGGCTGATTATAGCCGTATGGGCGAGGGGGAGGGGGGAGGCAGCCCCGCCCCCCAGTCAAAATAAATTAAGTCATGCAAATTATAAACGTATAAATTCGGGCAAAAATTGGGGGAAATAAATTTAAAAAGAAGACAGTACATGCAATATGGTATTTGAAAATACCAGAAATATGTAAAAGTAACGAAGAATCGACAAATAGGAAAATATTTTTGTCTACTTCCCAACGAAAATTTTGGAAATTTAGTTACACGGAAAATTTTATTCAGTGGGTAAAAGTCGATCGTGTAAATTTCTTCCCGCCCGTACGCCTATGACGGCTGAACTCATTTCATTTCCTGTGTATCGGAACATAAAGCAAACAATATTTGCGAAACATAATTTAATATGCTCAAATTCTCGAAATTAAAGTAAACAAGAGGCATATACAATCAAAGGAATAATCCAGTATAATATAAAACAAAAACTTTCGCAAAAATTTAGCCACAACATTCAATAATAATAACTATTATCTAATAACTAGTTTTATCGCTTCCTTATATATTACTGTTCATCCATCCCACTTTTGCATGCACCTATTTCCGCGAAAAATTACTCATATGTGAAGCTACATATAAGGCCAATGAAAATTGATATCATGTTTCTCGTCCACAATTTTCAAAAATTTGGAGCGGGATTTTTTCATTTTTCACTTTTCATTATTTTTTGTATTTGAATTCTGCTTGTCAATAATTTCCTTGACCCAGTAAAAACCCCATAAAAATCTGAAGTTTTAAAAATTGGTGTATAATTCATTTTAATTTAATACGTCCTACACTACAGTCTACAGACTAAGCATATTTCTACACATACCAGGGCTGACATGAAAAATAGAGGCAGTCTGGCGAGTAATATCAGTTTAGAAAGATACAATTTGAGTTGCGCTTGCGGAATACAGCAATAAGACTTTGATCTGGAGATGAATTTGGTGTTTTTTAAGCCTATTTTTCAAAAATAATGAATAATGAAAAATTTAATTTTCGTGCGGCAGATAAATCCCATGCCGGCGGGGACGAGAAACATGATATCAATTTTCATTGGCCTAAATACTAGGACTTTACAATTACGTGCAAGACATATTACCACCCGATAGAGTCACACATACGACAAAAGAATCCTATTTTTACTGGCTCGTATTTATGAATTCACAATTGTATGAATCGTTAGATTGTGATCAACGTGGATTTCTTAATACGCTCTCGTTTGATATAAACGTACGTTAATAAATGAATAAGTGACATTTTAGTTACAAGCCTCCAGATGGCTGTCAAAATTCAGCGAAGTTTATGTGCATGTCAGTTAGAATGAAATGACATGTGAAAACATTTAGCAAGATTGAGGCATCAAATGCGATATTATTTTCTTATCCAAACTTTTTTGTTTTTGTTATCACGTTATTATTATTGACAGTGGCGGAAATCTCCACCCCCCCCCCCCACCTTCCGGAAAATTGACGAATTTTCGGAAATTTTGATCTAAAAGAGGGCTAAAAACAGTCTTTTCGAGTGCAAATGGGGGGGGGGTACGTCGGAAATTTCAAAGTTTTGTCGGAAATTTAGGAGGCTTTGCCCCCCCCGGAAAAAGTGAATTTCCGCCACTAATTATTGACTGTTGTAGCAAATACTAGCAATGGAAAGTTTGTATTTCAGCCGTTGGTACTTGTATTGTGTTAAACGTGGTTAAAAAATAAAAATATTTTGACTTTGTTGTTTCTGATGACATTTGCCGACTCTCGACTTTTTACTCTCGATCGACTCTCGACTTTTACTCTCGATCGACTCTCGACTTTTTACTCTCGACTCTCGACTTTTTACTTTCGACTCTCGACTTTTTACTCTCGACTCTCGACTTTTACTCTCGACTCTCCACTTTTACTCTCGACTCTCGACTTTTACTCTCGACTCTCGACCTATACTCTCGACTCTCGACCCTTGACTTTTAGATACACTCACACTTTGTTGACTGAACGAAGTATAGGAGCAGGTCCTCCAGTTATTATACAGCTCAGTGGTGTTTTCCCGCGTTTGACGTAATTATAGGAAAGGTCTATTATGTGTTGTCGTGATTTATATAAGATGCGTCGCTAAAAACGCATCTTTGACTTTTGTTTACTTTTTAAAAATACGAATGAGTGATAATCGCACCATGCAAGTTCATAAAACTAAACAGATAAGAAGACTATATATAGCAACGTTTGCACACGTATCTAAGTATCTTAAATCCGGAATCCAAGGAGTGCATCCATTACCTTGCATGGCCCCAAATTTCTAATCTCAATGTCACATGTTTGGCCAGCTGTTTCGGTATTTGGAAATCAGACATTTGCAGGCAAATATAGACTTGGATCAAGTCCGTCTCTCTGGAGTCCGAGTCGCGAAGCGACGAGACCAACCTCGCGCAACCCTCCGACTCGTGAGAGACGGACTTGATCCAAGTCTAAGGTAAATACTAAAGAACGCATTTAGGAATATATTCCGCAATATTTTTCCACAATAGGAATTTCGAGTTCCTTGTTAAAATACCGCAAAACTCTACCGCATGCGGAATTTTCACAGTTGGCCTGCCGCAATAAACTACCGCAATAGCACTTTTTCAAATTGACCTGCCGCAGGTACCCTGGTTGCCAGAGGTTCTGTATCTTTCGCCTTATTCCCGCTCGTATATTTATTTTACGCGAGAGGAAGAGAACCTCTGGTGGCACGCGATACAAATCTCTCTTCCATGCTGACGTTGCCGTTTGAGAACTTGCAAAACCGGTTTTATATTTTGTGACGTTTTTAAACCTCCGGGTTTGTCATTCTACCAAAATAGCTCTCTTCAGACAGCCTTGTGTAAAACTCGGTGTAAAATACTGAAAATAAGCAGCCGAAACATGTAGATTATTCATTAGAAACATATAGATTATTCTCGCAACGCACAAAGCAAAAAGCAACCTTACTGATTGTGGAATGCCGTTTGTATTAGGTCTATTTATAGCGAACGTATAAAGTCAAAAGTGAAAGAATATAAACATATAAATATTTATATATACGTGTGCAACGGAGCCAGTATGGTTGTCCTTAACAGACAATGGAAAAATATTGGCAAAATAAATCATATTAATAACTATTAAAGTCAAAGAATTGCCAAAATTTAAAACCTTGAACGATATAAAGCAAGTGACCGACACTTTATATCTTACAATAGAGTGAACATGTCATGCCGTCGACTCAAGTCATGCCGCGATGGCACTGCAGCTCTTCTCCAGCGCAGAAAGTCTTTTTTATAGCGGAACAAACTAAGTTAAACTCAAATAACCCACACTAAGTAAAGCATTTTAATACATTCGTATTATTTCTGTATTTTGTTTACATCTTGTCTCTGAGATTTATAAACAGGTTTTTTTGTCTAGCCAATCACATCACTTCATGTGACTGCTAATTATAACTAACCAATCATGTGCTTGGTACAAATTTTGTACCAAAGGAAGAGAGATTTGTATCGCGTGCCACCAGAGGTTCTCTTCGCCTCGCGTAAAATAAATATACGAGCGGGAATAAGGCGAAAGATACAGAACCTCTGGCAACCAGGGTATGCCGCAGGAGATCTCCGGCTAAAGTGACAAACTTTCCAGTATGGTTGCTGGATAACAGTAATGAGTAAGATATTTGTTCACATCTGTATCAAGCAATTGATGGTGGAGCAGACTAACTTGCCAGAAGTTACAGTTCATGACCCAAAATTGCAACACACCAATCTCATGTAGATTTACTCAGCAAACACCATCTTAATTAATGATTTCACCTATTTTCAATTACCATCAGCATTGTTAGGTTTACCATTGTAGAGATAAGAATATACACACATACACACTGCCATCATCAAGCACGTCCCCCGTCCCACCGGATGAGGATTGTAATCTCGATGTTATGGGGCTCGAGGCAGAAAATTCAGAAACGACCTTTGGCATTGACCTTGTGCAACAGCTGGACACTGTCCCTATGGCTTTATCTACCCCACCGTCTCAAGCAAAACGTAAAAGAAATGAAAAGAGATTAGCGTTGAAGACGAAGTTCTAGAGTGTCGTTTGAAAGAGCTGCAGCAGAAAACCCCCACGCCGCGTCAATCAGTCGATGAATTGTTCGGTAGTTAGGTGGGTCAGCAACTTGCCAAGGTACCTGAAGGCTATGGGAAAGAAAACGTCAAAATTAAAACTCAGCAATTAATTGTTCGGGCTATGCACGATGATTCGCATTCAAGAATTACAGTTTCAGCATTTGATTTCGATTAAAATAACACTACATTAGTACTGTTTAATGGCTTTAATCTTGTAATTTGTACGCGTTATCCACAAATATATAGGCCACTTCCGAATTACGCTCTGGATCAACATCAGGTCGAGGCACTCGGAAGTGGTCTATTACTGTATCTCAACATACACGTCATAGTGGTCACGGCACGTGTTTCAAATAAATGGAACTATAAATATATTCTGAATTTTATACTCTGGTTATAATCCGAAATTCAACATCTTTTCAATTTATAGTTTTATAGGTAAGTTTATAGTTCCATTTTTAGACATATTGACCACTTTTTGTCTGTATAATGAGACGTTTATCACGTTTTACAGTTTAAAATACCAATACATACTTTTTAATATTTAAAGCCACAAAGTTCACAAACAGTTTTCAGCTACTTCCATTTTGCACTGACAGACTGATATTTATCTGATTTGTGCCTTAAATGGGAATTTGTAAATATTATAAAGTGTTATATAATGAAAGGCAAAGTTATTTGAATTTTATAATGAATCATGTTCCAATATCAAATTATGTGACTGTATATTCTGTTTTAACAGGGGCCATTCACAAAGGATGTCCGGCCAAATGATGGATTTTCAGACCCCACCTCCCCCCCCCGCGCTTGTCCGGCATTGTCCGAATTAGTGACTCCCCTCGGACATCCGCCATGCCTTGCAAAAACTCACACAACCTTGTATATGTCAAGAGTAAAAAACTTTTTATGCTTTTAGAACTTTTTTATAACTATAAATATGAATACAAAAACATATAAATTATCAATTAAAACAAACAACTGTGTTACTGCAACAACGGGATAACCTTATTCGGAACGAGGTTGAAACTTATTGTATAGAAAAGGAGAGTTATACATGCAGAAAGCTTTTAGGAAGTGCTCAAAATGCCAATTTCACAATGGGAAGGGAGTTCAAAATAGAGGAAAAAGAAATTTGTTTTTGAATTTTTTAAAATTTTGGACATCCGGATTGCTAAAAACCCCCCTCCCCCCTATGTCCGAGTTTGTCCTGATTTTTCAACCCCCCCCCCCTCGGCTCGGACATCCTTTGTGAATGGCCCCTTATTAAATTATACTAAGACATTCCACTGCCAAGGCACCTGGCCTTCATTGTTAAAATATTCACACAATGCTTGTCGAATATCTTCAGCTTTGACAGATTGCCTCCCCTTTCTGCTGTTGGAAATGGACACCATTCCACTTGAGACAAGTTCTTCATTTCTCCAGCTACAATGCCTAACTTCTCCATGTTGGTCTTCACTATCGACAAAACCTGAAGGAATGTACCTACTGGAATTGGTAGATCGAAGGAAATTGTGGAGGGCCAAAGTTGCTAGGACAACTTTTGTAACATTATCTGGTTTGATTGAAAGAAGTGTAGAAAATACTCGAAACCTATTGGTGAGAATGCCAAAAACATTCTCACTGACACGCCTGCCCCTTGAAAGCCTATAGTTGAAGATTCTTTTTTCATCTGTGAGAGCTCTTTGGGCAAAGGGCTTCATAACATTTGGCTCGAGCGAAAATGCGTCATCACCAGCAAGGAAGTATGGAACTGGAATTCTCTCATCATCAACAAGATACTGAGAGAGTGACAAAGGAAGTGGCTTAGGTTCTGGTAAGTGAAGTGCATTGTTGACCAACTTTTTCCAGAAAATGGTGTTTTTCATCACGCCTCCATCGCTAATTCTGCCCTGGCAACCAACATCAGCAGAAATGAAGTTGTAATCTGCACCAACAACTGCCATTAGAACAATGCTGAAGAAACCTTTATAATTATAGAATTCAGAACCACTTTTAGGCGGGTGTATAATTCTGATATGTTTCCCATCTGCAGCACCAACGCAATGTGGAAGTTGCCATTTTTCCTCGAATCCTGTTGCTATCTTCAGCCAGTCCTCTTCACTTTCAGGGAATTTCAAATATTCACTCTTCAATGTATTATATATAACGTCACATACTTCTGGTACTATGCGACATATGGAAGGCACAGAGACACGGAATTGATAATGCAAACTGGCATATGACTCTCCAGTAGCCAAGAATCTCAATGTTAACGCAAGCCTCTGTCCTGCAGGTATTGCCTCTCTCATAATTGTATCTTTCTTCTGCAATTGACACTCCACTTTCTTCAACAATGACTATCAAAAGATATAATAAACAGTTGAATACAGACAAATTATCACCATACAAAAAATCATAATATTTTATCAAAATATAATATATTGGTAGCTAGAGGATATGAAGAATTATCAAGCCCGAAGTGATAAAGGCAAATTGAGGGCTTGATAACTCTTCATGTTGTGTGAAAACCGAATTCAATAATTGTTTTATTATTTATTTTAAAAATTCAAAAACAAAAAGAAGCCATTTGTATTTTATTTGTATTTTATTTGTATTAAGAAAAAAACAATTCCTCAGTCCTTCGGCAGCTGTTGTCGTCATATCAATGGCGTCAGTGAGTCAATATGATTCTTGTCAATTCAATATGATTTTTGGGGGGAGGCAAGGGCAGTATTTTTCCAACAAACCAAAAAAATTTTCCAAATATAATTATATATACAAGCATATATATATATATATTATCTAATATGAATGTAAAATACTGGTTTACCAGTAAATCTGTATATTATCCTTCAATAAAATCCTTCAATAAAGTTTCAAAGTTTAATATAATTATGTGCTATCATATATTTATATGGCCATTCAAAAAATCAAATATGAGTTTAACGGGAAGATACTGTTAAGACGTTTTGCGGTCATTTCAGAGTTAGAAACAGGATAATTAATATTCATTAAGCTAAGTTTTGTATAATTTGATTTTATTTAATTTAAATATGTA